CCAGGCGCGCCGCGAACATAAGCCTCTGTGCAGACATAATTTAGCCGTCCCATGTATGAGCTTGTTATAGCCGCCTCATTCTCCACCCCTGTCAATATTTATACAGCAGACAGTGGTCAGTGTTCATCCCAGACCCTGCAGAGATTAATTTCCCTGAGGAAATTAGCTACTGATGTGCGGCAGAGTAAATTCCCCATACATGGTGAGCTGAATTACCTAGCCCCCCATCAGTATTTACAGAGAAACACATACTTTATGCTTCTGCCAATTACAATATATTTTGAATTATGGAATGAGCTTCTTAAGGGAGATGGGGGCTGTGCATAATTTATTGCCGGACTTCCCATTACGTTGAGGAATGGGCATGACATTTGCATTTCCCAGTGCGTTTTGAATAACACGTTTTATTGTATTTGGATGGCATTAAATTGGAACTGTAGGTCTTTATGGATAGGAGGTGCCTCTTTTTATGTGGACTCCACAGACAGAGATGAGAAGTTGCTCTTCAGATGAGTCCGTCGTGTGAATGTGCAGCGGTTCGACAGCTCATCTCTTCAGTGTGTGTGTGTGAGGCAGAAATGTGACATCTGATTTGTGGTTGTTATCAGTGTATAGCTGCAGATCTTTTTTTTTGTCCCTGGAGTTTGTGGTTGAACTTTCTTTAACAGATGTCACTGAAGTACCTTTAAGGCAAAACAGGCGTTCCCATCTTCTGTCTGTTTAGTAAGACATTACTCTCAGGGCTTTTAGTGATACTTCATTAAAATCAATTGAGCACGCTTTATTTTCCTCTGTTAGTAAAAGAAACTCTGCTTTTTGTCATTTGATAAAAATACTCAAGTTTTGATTATATTGTCGTCTTTTTTTGCCTTAGACCACCTTTTTTTGAGCTAACATTTATTGTAAATTGGTGCCATATAAATAAAAATCGATTTATTGAATATTTCACCCTCAACGGGTCTTGGTTAAATCCTTGATTCAGCTCAGTTTGAGATCACATTTGATCTGATATTTCATAGTTTTGATAAATTCTAACTCATATCAGTGATTAATAAAATGAATTAGCTCACCTGATCAGGTACATGTCTTAAACTTTGGGACATCAGGGGCTGGGCCAGGACCTCCAAACCCCCACTCCAGAAAAAGAGGGATAACACTTAACAATAACCATAATTGATAAAAGGTAAATAGATAGTTTATTAATGTTTAATCATCATTTAAAAAAACAGCATAAATATCAATTATAAATGGCAATGGCACTTTGTAAATAGTTAATATTTGGTTTTTAAACCATTTATTAACATTACTTAGATGGTTAATGTGAAGTTGCAACTGATGTTTGTAATATTTTGTAAATGATTAATAAGTTGTTTATAAACCACCTATAAACATTACTTAGATGGTTATTGTAAAGTTAAGGTTAGGTTTTTAAAATTTTTGAATTTACAATTTATTAATGGTCTTTATGCTATTTATAAATAATGATTAATCATTTAACAACAGCTTAAAGACCAATTATAAATGGCAAATATATAGTTTATTAGTGTAAGTTAATAGTTTCTTTACCATAACAAGCAATGATATTATGATGAATAATTTTCATTAATTATTAATGGACTATTTATTAAAGTTTTGTATAGGGTTTTAATATTGGTTGTAAAACATCTAGATTAAAATGTGTGTCAGTATCACTTTGTAAATGGTGGGTATTTGGTTTTTAAACCATTTACATTGTTTAGATGGTTACTGTAAAGTTGCAACTGATGTTTAATACTTTGTAAATAATTAATAAATGGTTTATAAACCATCTATAAACATTACTTAGATGATTATTGGAAGGTTAGGGTTAGGTTTTAAGATTTAAAATTTACAATTTGTTAATGGTCTTTATACTATACTTATGATTAAACATTTATAAACTATCTGCTTACTATTTATAAATGTCTTATTTACTATTTATAAGGTATGGTTATTGTAAAGAAGAAAAAGTAAGTTTCTAGACGTTTCAATTCTTTCTCTTGCATACTTAGACAGCACAGCAGCGTTGTATTGATTGGAGTCCAAAGTAAGACCATATGTGATCGAGTTCTTCCCCGAACTTTGAGACGATAGTCACTTCAAGTTTGTCTCTTAACACATATTCCCAAAAATTGTATCAAAGAAGAATAAAAGTATGAAGTAAAGAAGCGTAAACAGGTTGCATGCTGCATCATATGAAAAATTTAGATGTTGTCCTCCCATTGATCTGCTGCCACCTCAGCACTGACAGTGCTGATCAACCGTGTGGAGTCTCTCTTCACATCCCCAAGCTCCAATTTGTCATCGGTTCCTTTGTGTTCCCCGAAACACGGCTTCTGCACATACTTCTTGATGCCTCGTGTGAATGAGATGTTTCTAAGATATCAAAGGATTTGCTATTTCTCCACAATCCTCCTGCCATCTGCTCTCCACCCTCAACCAGCATGCTTCCACTGGAACCCCCCCCCACCTCCCTGAGCTCGGCATACAGTCCGTGGCAGCCGATCAGCGGTTTTTCAAATTGTCTTTGGCTTTCAAAGTCTTTGACTTGCTTTGTAAAGTTGTTCACTTGATAAATACTGCTGCTGCTTGACAGTCTTCACAGTCGTCTCTCAACCAAACATGACAAATTCAGCTGCATATTTTTACCTTAGCAACAGTGAGTACAATAAAACCAACGCTCAACTGAGCAGTTTCACTTCCTCCACACACCTGTCTGCGGCAGGAATGGTCTTGTTTTAAGCAGAGGGATAAACACAACACACAAATAGATATCTATGATTAACACTTGAAAAGGCAGCATTCTTCTTCACAGCCGATTTCATCTATAACGACGGCTATTCAGTCAAACTGAAAGACAGACTTTGATCAACCAAAGTGTGATGGTGACAATTACGTCCTCCGACACCTTTTTTTTCTGTTGGAAACATGTCACTTTGTTAAGAGAGACAACTGTCAAGAGTATTGAAGGGACCAAAGCTGAATCTTGCACATGTTAACATGATTCTTTTGAGGGATCCGCCTCAGTTAGACAGGTAACCGTTAATGAGATGATAAAAACACGACACTCAGGAGGAACATGGCGAAATCTGACAGTTAGAAAACACGAGCAAATGATCTAATAATCGGTCTTCCTCTCACGCCGCCGGGGGGAAGGGATGCAGTGCACATTCAAAATCGGTGGATTCAGTAAGGTAAATCACATAAAACCTGTGTGGAATCTTGTCATGCAATCCTAAATCCTGATCTGACACCTATATCTGACAGGCTTGTGTGATTGGATCGTAAAAATTGCCTCCAAGCACGGGGGCGAATGGCGGCATGAGGTGGGTAATACGGGACATAAATTATTCCTCTATGCCGATGATACTTTGCTAGAGGTGACAAACCCTTGACCTTCTACCACACCTGTGCAATCATTCATGAAATTAGTCGAGAACCGAACCTCAAGAGCGAGGCGACTTCGAATTTATTTTTCTGAAAATGTTTTATTATTCTTAAGTGATTCAAACCAACTTCATATTTTACAACAACATGCCAGAACCTGTTCTTAACATTTCAAAGAGCGATACACCGTCACATGCTAATTAAAACACAATCTTGTCATTTGAGTTTTGTGAAACACCGGCAAAACAGCACTTTAATTTTTAATAGAGATCTAAATAGAGATGTCATGTTCATTAAGTGCTGTGGAAATAATAATTAAGCGAAAGAGAGACTTTGAAACGCTCGCAGATGAGAGACTGCGAGACGTTTTGAAAAGCTGCCATAAACAATTTGTTTTTGAAGTACTTCTCGAATTGCCTCAGTTTTTCACCATGTTATAATTAAAACAGCGGCTTTGTATGTCTTGAATTTTAAATGTGGGAATGAAAAAGCTTTTTTAGTATGAGTAAAATGTGGTGCAGGAATTGTTTTACCGTTTACTTCCAAACAAGTAAAAAAGCATAAAAACTATTGTGTCAAATGAAAAGTAGGATTTTCTTGTAAACGAGGATATATATGTTCAAATACACATTTTTTTCCTAGCAGAATGAAACATGTTTGCACTAATTGGTCACATGGTACTAGGGCTTGGCGGTATGGCCTCAAATCAATATCACCATATATTGAGTAGTTCACCTCAATAACTATAAATAGACGATAACTACTCCACAAGCTGCTCACCCCCTCCCACATTAACTTCATGTACTGCTCCAGCTGCTACAACTTTTGAACCGTCCTCCATCTCCTCACCTGTCTTTCCCTCGTCATTACGGACTGGATGGGGTGGAGTCATGTCTCTGACGTAGGACAGCGTCTCAAAGGGACCATAGTCTACCTACACACATCCAAAACCAACTCTTATTTATTTTTTTGTCATGGAAAATACTGATACGGACAAAATGACATCGGTTATCGTCGCATATTTCGGTATCGGTAAATTTTCGGTTTATTGCCCAGCCCTGCTTGGTACCTTTCTTTATTTGCCCACATTGTACAGATTCTTTTGTAACTCATCTGATATGATTATATTGTTGCTAATTCTGAATAACAAAACCGCCTCGAATCTACGCCTTTGCATGTGGATAGAGCGAGTGAAAGTTAGACTGAGTTGTCATGTTCACCATGGCAACCATAATATCTGGGCTCTATACCACCACTTAATGTGACTGAGGAAAGTCAACAGTCAAAAAACAAAGGCTGAAAAAACTTTTGTTTAGATTCTAGGGCTGCAACTTACGACTATTTTAATAGTTGACTAGTCACCAACTATTGAAACGATTAGTTGACTGATCGGATAGTTACGAATTTTATTTTATAAATTTCTTTTCCGCCTCATCTAGGCTGAAGTGCTCCCAAATTTTGGAGCATGTACTCGTAGCTGCTGTATGGGATGTTGGCGTCGGCATGTTTGAATACCCTACCACTCGCCTCCGACGCTATTGCACATGTGTGACTGTAGGCAGAGATTGTAATGAAGTAAGACGCCTCACTCCTGGGGAAAAAACACATCTGGCGACAATTGTCGACAATAGAATTCATTGTCGACTTTTTTCATTCTCGATTTTTGACGACAATGTGGACTAATCATTGCAGCCCTCGTAGATTTGTCACTAGTTTAACTATTGAGGAGCAGTCATGTCATCCATTTTTAAGAATATGGATGAGCGTTATCCTTGAGTGACTCCAGGTTCAATTTAGTTTGAGAAAAACAAAAGTGGTGTTGATAAGAAATCTGGAGTGCTGCCTGCTAATGTTCCACTGAAGTTAAACAGCCTTAGTGTATGACTCTTAAATTTATATTCAGTGTACTTAACATCAAGTCAACAAGTAAAGTTTGATAAATGAAGAAAATTAATGATGCATTGTTCCTTCAACAACAAATAAGCTTTATAAATAACAGAATACACATACTTCTACTCACCGTATACGTGCTGATTGGTGTGTATGTGGAGTCCTTGCAGGTGGGCGGGGCGTGAGCACTGTGTACCTGTCACCTTATGTAAATGTGACTCTTTATTAATAGCAGGGCAGCGGCTGTGCACCAATGAATGTCGATGTGTCGATGGGGGCCGGACCTCCCCTGTGACAGCGCTGATTAGTGGTTGTGCGCGAGGGTCACTTCAGCGACTCCGCTTCTACAGGAGGGCGCGTGGCATTCACTGACAACACCGGTCACCTTTTCTCACTCGACCTTACCGAGCGAAGAGAAGAAAGGAACAAGGAGGAGAGTCGGGACATTTACATAAAAGAGGAAATGAAGATGGAAATTCTCTCGGCGGAGGCATTAATCCTAAACGGGAGAGACGTTGTGTAAAATGTTGATCAAAAAATGAGCTTGAAATGGATGCAGTGACTAAATGTGTTTACGGATAGTTTTAGGAAGTGATTCTGAGCCCATGCAGAGATTTCCACTACAGAGCCATGCCTTTTTAATGCAGTTCAACAGCCTAAATCTCTGATCTCCTCATGATATAATGCGCTGTAAGTGATAAAATCCTTCAATCCTTTCCAATTTTACGCTGAGAAACATCAATCTGAAACTGCTGAACTGCTTCCTCGAGGAGATTTTAAACCTCTGCTTGTCTTCTCTCAACTATATAAAAGGTATCACTGCTCCACCAGACTCATGTGTACCAAGTTTGACGACTCTACTGTATTTTGAGCCCTTGAAAATACTACTTCCTGTTTGAAGGGGGAATACAGCACCAGCATAGCAACAGTCATTGACTTAGCTTTTGGAGTGTGAGGGGTTGGATTGTTTAGGAGACCTTAGCTAACCAGATAGGATCCGACAGTGGTTATGTGAGGGCAGAAACTACTTGTTAAAATTTGGTTCTTAAACTTTGATGCTTGTGTTGACCACGCCCTTTGATAAAAACTCTCAGTTTTCGGCACACATCAAGATCAACAGCTTAAGGATATCCTTGGCAGGTTTTGTGCAGGTATGTTTAATAGTCTCAGAGATTCAGCTCATAAACCGATAGCATGGAGCTCCCTATTGCCACCAGAGGGTGCTATGATCAGGATGTAATATTACCAAATTAATATCTTGAGAAAATGACCCCCATTATGCATGGTGAGTTCAGGTGAGATTGGAAAAAAAAAGACTTCCTGTGCAAAAGCAAAACAGTGAACTTTGAGGGCTCACCTTGGCAAAACCCTTTGATATTCATCTGATCATTCGGGTCTTTTCTACCTTGAAAGTAAGAATCAAGTGGATTGGACATACACTTTTGGAGACTAAACCTTCCAAAGGACCCAACCGTGTTAGCCAACTTTTCATAATTTGTCCAAAATCATTAAAAAATATCTTTTTTTACCAGTGCTGGCGAAGTTTCATACATTTTTGAGCATGTTTAGACCATACCTCCCAACACTCCTGTTTTTCCCAGGACTCTCCCATATTTCAAACCTATCCCCCGCCCACCTCCTGTATTGTCATTACTCTCTAGAATCTCCCGTAGTTTGATGGTCCATGGTCACTCATGAATCGGATCACTATATTTCTCCAAAGTTGCCAGACAACTGAAGATAGTCCTGTGTTTCTCCTGAGCCTCACAGACACTGGATTGATACTTTGACTTTACAGTTTGGGATGATTCAGGCCGTTTTAATCTGTAAACTATATTTAAGCAGTGTTTGTTGCAAAATGAACACTTCAGTAAGAGGGAAACAAACGCAAGATAGAATACTTGTGTTGATAGTCTTGTACCGTCTCAGAGTGATGCGTTCAGGGCAGCCTCAGACAAAAGAGTGCTGTATTGCACAGAGAGCCTCATACGAGAAAGCATGTAAAACAGTAATATTAGTGGACTAAATAAGTTCAAGGCATATCGTAGCCATTATTTTTCTTTTATTACCATCTGTTATGTTTAAAACAGAACAAAAAAGTGTGCAGCTTCACTTCTACTTATTTGGATGAGCGATTTAATTACAAATACTTTCATAATTAGCTCATATCCACCATACAAGGTAACCCCAGAACTGCCCGGTCATAAAATACCCCAGACTTTGAGACCCCAGACCCTCAAAAGTGAAGGTAAAACAATCAAGAAATCCTGAAATTGCATTTTAAATCAAATGCAAAGTCCATAAAACTTGTAACCAGTGAATTCTGTCTTGATGGCTAATATCTTGTCATTGTTAGAGCCTGCGTCCAACGTCCTCCATCTTGGCTCGTGAAGGACTTGAGAAGTTTCGAATTTGATTAATAAATACGGCGCCGCCTCGTCTGCATCCATAGAAACAGAAATCCTGATTGCCTGCTAGTTATGATATCATTGGGCAGGCGAGGAGAAGGGACATTGGCAGTGTGACATTGTCATTTTCAAGTCTCAACTGACACCTGGGGCCACCCAATGTCCCTCCAAATTCTCCGACAGCAAGACAATGGACGACAGCTTGGAGGACGAGTGCAACCATACACAGCTTTGATTGGTCTGCCAATGGAATAATCAAGTGTTTCAAATCTGATTCCAGGGACATTATTTTGTAATTCCAACTTTAATTTGACTCCACAAATGGAGCGTTGAGGCGGGAGGATGAATATTGGGGAGATTTCCTTCGGCTTGTTACGGGTTTGGTTTCACTTTCGAAGCTGACCTAAGAAAGGGGAAAAAAAATCAGAAGATCTTTTAACTGTGGACGTTTAAGAAGTTAAGCATAAGCCAAATCCAAAGCGCTCAGCGACAGTGAAGGAAAAAAAAAAAGTGTGAAATTATAGGAAGTTGGAGTGCTTTGTTTGTTTCAAAGCTTTCTACTCTCTCTCTCTCTGGTAGGGATTTCCGAGTGCGATCTTAATCTCTTTATTATCTTTGAAGGCATTTCACCTATAGGACCTTGTGAATAAGCCTAATCTGAGGAAAATAGCAAAATATTGAGCTCTGGCTGTGACTGATAAAACAAGCTTTCTTTTTCCCGTCACGCTGTGTTCCTTCTTTTCCTTTTTTTGTGGCTCCTTTTAAGCAGCTAAAGAGCGCAAACCTTTAATCATGAGGCAAGGTGACCGCACACTCCGGTTATCGGGCTCGCACAAACACACACTTGTATTCACAAGCAGGGAATGTCCTGTTTGCACTCAGATATGAACAAAGGTGTGAGTCAAACCAGAACATCTACATATAGAGTGCGGATATACAACTTTTGCATTGTTTTTTGGAGGAAAGTTTGAGTCCCGTCTCTTATATAATACTCCTTCTCCCTCCACCTCCTTTCCCTCTATCTTATACACACTGGGAAACATGCAGGCACCAACTGTATTATAATATATTTCTTCTACTTTCCACATTGAAATTCAGCAGATGTCAGTTCAGTATTTCTTTTGCTGTGTATTCGCAGGATTTTAAAAGATTGTCCCCAACTTTGGGAAAAGCAGGAAATTACTTTTAAGGAGAAGGAGCTGAACATAAACATGGCGAAGACTCTGATTTGACACCGTGGTGTAGCCTATTTCTCGTAAGCCTTTTTATCTGCAGTGCATCAATTTGGAGAGAAGAGGCAAAAAAAAATAAGCTACTGAAAAGTTTATTTTTTAACTTTTATTAATCAAAACACGCTTGAACTGAGTGGCACATATTCCAAATGTGGTTTTATTCGTCCCACAGCACAGAGAAGCGGCAGATCTGATGGGTCAAAGGAACGAAAAACAGTCACAGAACTCTTCATAACCACTTCGCCCGGAGCGCGAGGCTCTAACAAGACAGTCATCATAAACATGCCGAACAACCCCGCTGCATACTGTAAGCAGAAAAAACGTCTCCATCTGATGTGACAGCTGAGCTAAGAGTGAGGACGCGCAACCCCCCGCAGCTAAGGGACATTCAGGTTTTCATTAGTCATGCTTTTACCAAACAGCACAAACACCAACTCGCGAAGCTCTGACTCCGTCTGTAGAAATATGACAAAGTGATTTAGACAGCACAGTTGCCGGCACACACACGCAGCAGCGATGTTTTCCTCATTACTTCGGATGTTACCACACCCAGAGTAACCATCATTATTATCGTCGTGGCCGTAATTGGAACTGTCAGCCGGCAGAATAACCATACAAAGGGAATCCATATTTCATATTTTACACAGTCAGAGTCGAAAATACAACTAAACAAGCAAGTTCTGTGAAAACAATGGTAATAAAAAAGTCTGTAAGTAACCAGAGGAAACAAAGTTTAACTTTTGTTTCCATAATTTTGAGTCCTTTTTGTGTCTATAAGCCTTATTGCTTTGTTTTTCAAGCACTTGTGTATACGCTGTTATGCAGATGATGCTGTGCTTATACTCAAACATTTAATTAACTCACACTATGTTGTAAAAATCAAAGGAAAAACAACTATGCATTAGCCTGAGATACTTCTTATTAATTGATATTGCAGTATAGCAGTAAACTCCTGACATTGGGCCTATCATGTCTTTGGGCTGGTCCCCAAATGCCAAAGAATCCCATTAGGTCCCATGTTTGAAGCCCATCTTTACAGCAGAATACATAAACAGCCTGGTTCAATAAAACTCTTGGTGTATGTCACTCATATCTTTAACTGTTAAGACTGTACAGGAGTTAATCTTTGTAAATACATCCAAGCAATTGAATTTCCCTGAACATCATCTGTCTCCATATCCTATTGTTTTTTAAGTGTCAACTATACAGGGGCAAGATTTTTTCAGTTAGTTTTGCATAAGTAAGCACATCAAAAACATGGCTAATTTGGCCTCAACTTCACCTTTTTGCCTGTCTGGATGAACTCTGAATTAAATTGGAGACAGGATTTCGAATAAGGCAACCACCGAAAACTATAGGTGACGCTATTAAGACTACATCTATGCTTTATATGGTCCAGGGATATTCTGGCGTAAAATTAATGTAGGGTCAAACACACCATAACACCGAGTTAAACACCCCCTTGAGAGATGAATGTTGCCAACCGCTCGCTTCTCTAGTTACACCAACTTCAGTAACGACCACACAATAGCAATACACAATCTCAACCAAAACGCCACTCTATAGCCACAAATAATGCTCAGAACAGTTGTGTTAAGTCTCATTGCTAAAGAGTCCAGTGCCCAGCCTAAAAGTTTTGGTATCCCTTGCTAACTTTTGCACAAATCAAAGAAAAGCACTTTCATTCACTAATCCAGACAACTCTACGTTTCTGTATTAATTGATTTCATTGGAATCTTGTCACAAACTTGGGGAAGCTGTCATGATTTTTAATTTGTTAACCTTTAAGAGTCGGGAAATGATGGCGAAAGATAAAGCAGGTTTTGACGATTTAAGAAAATATGGTTGTTTTAAAGTTTCTTTAAAATTTGAAGGTTTAAATCCCTCAAATTAAAGCTTGTGTAAACCCTCTTAATTGATTTGTAGCTTGGTTCTTTGTCCATATTTTACTGCCAACAGATGTTCACACTTTACATTGGCAGGAAATCAACAATTCTCTCGCATCCCTCTCCGTCTCTTTCCCCCGCCGTCCCCCCCACCTGTCATGCGGGCCAAGCAGCTATGACAGCCGTGTGAATGTAACGCCGGAGTGAGAGCGACTCGAGCTGAAGCCCTCACTTCCACCGTGCCCCTTCCCCGGGGGAGGGTGACGCTTTTGCGGTGAACTCCTCCATACCTACATTGTTCCTGTAGCTCCGCCACTCTCTCCCGACAGACATGCTACACCCACCTCCATATGGCGTCTCCGCACAGCGCGCTTCCCCCGGGGAGCCAAAGGGCGCCTCAGTTTGCTATTTCTAGACAAGCAAATCATGTTGGTGTGCATGTGTGAGGCGAAAGTGCAGACTGAAACTTTCTCACTAAAGGGAATGTCAGTTTAAAAACATGATTTGGCAGCAGACGAGATAAATATGACTTCAGTCTCTGGGCAGCGTATTTGTTCTCCTTTTGGCTCTCTGAGGAACGAGAAGATGAGGTAGCAAGAGGGTGTCAGAGGCGGGGTCGAAGGGATCCTTGGAGTTGGAATAAATGTTTACATGAACTCAAAATACTTTTAAGATACTGTTTTTTTTTGGATTTCAGAACTAGCTGTATTGATTTTAGAGCCTCTATGCGCCTATGGGAACTCAGACACTGGATATCCAATTCTTCTGAAAGAGTTTACTGCAAGAGAGATTCCATTAAAACCTCAAGACAACTTGCATTGAAATGGGCATGAAGGCAGCCAATTTATGGGGAATATGCACAGTTGAATGACAATGCTAGCTTTGAGAAAAGAAAAGTACACAATAGAGTATAATTTGTGTCATTATTTCATGGTGTACACATGGGAGAAATGAACAGACCAAACGTGATCACCTCCATCAAACGCTCTTCTCCAAGTTTAGACATCAGTAATCTGTTAATCAGGACTAAATATGACTTTTTTTTTCCTAAAGTATGTGTGATGGTGAGGGTATGTCTTCTAGGTGTAACTTTCTACAAGTCAAAGACCGTAAAGCTCCTGTGAGGAACTTTCGGTTTGTGTCAATTTTGGCGCCCCCATGTGACTTATCTTGTCACAAACCCAGAAATAGTAGAACCAGTGCAGTGGTTTCAATTTTTATCTTGAGCATGAGTGTGTTCAGATCAATGTCTAATATATACATATTTAAAACCCATACAATTATAGTTGATAACTAATCAACATACCCAAAGGTAAGAAACCCCCGAGAAAACAGTCAAAATTGAGAGATAGTTATCTGATGAGACTAAGCTAACCCCCAATTTCCACCACATCCGGAACTGCCTCAAAAAGGCCGTATCCACCAATCATAGCTGATCGTAAGCATTCAAGTTAATGTGTCAATTTCCACCAGTTTCTATCTGTTCAGCTGTGGATCGCCGGACTCCACAACTGATCGCAAGAGTTCTATTTTTACCTGACGACAGAGCATGCCGGATAAATTCAGCATAGATTAACCTGTGCTGGAAAGGAAGTTGGGCACAGACACACCCGCGTGTTCTTGTGAGTTCTTGCGATTCCTGATATCCCTAATCTACCAGGAAATTCGCCTCATAAACGGATCTGGTAGGAATTGGTGGATGGCGAAAATCGCTGCCGTTCCGGATTAAAGCCATTCCGGATGTAGTGGAAATTTGGGGTAAGGATCACAGAGGAAATGAAATAAGGAAATAAGGAAATATCAAAGGTGTTAGTTGAAGTTATATGACACTCAAACTATGGCACTTAAGGCCAACAGTAATAAATATGAATAATGTGTTTAATTGAGTAATAACGCCAACTAACAAAGTTTACAATGTGAAGTCACAGAGTTGCTCAAACATGCACATGTCGACTGTTTGGTACGTAAAAACACATCGAGGAGAAAGCAGAGACAACCTTGTGCAATGGGGACTGAACTCAGACTTGTGTAAATATGTTAGCTGGTATTTTGATGATGTTGGTTTTTCTCTGGTTTGGCCTCCTGACTACAAATAAATAAGAGTTTCTGGTCTTTGAAAGCTTCTGAGCTTTTAGACTCGAACTAGACTTGAGGTTTGGTGACTACAACGCTTTCCCTGCAGGTTCATCACATAAAATTAGCATTGTCAAGAACTTCTCAAGCATGCATCTCGAGAATTATGGCGTGGATTGTACTGGATTGGATTGTCCCATTGGCTGTTTATATAATACCTGTTTTTTCACTGATGAATGGTACTCTACATTCACAGAGCGGTGCAGTCCTGATCAAGGCCCAGATAGTGCGGTATGGAAATTCTCTGCAGAGTTTGCACTCTTCGTCAATGAGAATAATCCTCACTGAATTTTGCAACAAGTCTAATGTGTAAAAAGAAATTGGAAAGAAAAGCTGCAGGCTAAAAATTTCATCCAACTCTAGTGAAAGGCCCGTGTTTTGACAGTTTGACAGCTTTGTTTCAGTACATATGGTTGTCTTCGGCGCTTGTGAACCGACTCGCACGGGGGAGACGAAGACAAAGGAACACATATTCTAACAATTCTAAAAATGGTTCCTGCTGGTGGCGGCAAGACACGCGGAAAATAGTGGGATTTCTACACCTATATGTTATAAACATAGCTTTGTGGACGTGCCCAGAGCGAAATATTGTTCTTGAGGCAATTGATTCATGGAGTGATCGCACAGGTTTGTAAAATTCCTGTTTTTTTAAAAATGACTCACAGATTTGGCAAACTGTTTTCATGCTCTCGGCCAAAAACAGGCAGATTGGGACATTATGAAGTCAAATTCAAACACGGCGGATACATTATCAGAGATTAAACCTTCAAGTGTTGTAAGGCTAAATATACGCTCCCACTATGATAACTACATATGCTTTTTTATTAGCGTCTTCATTGAAATGGCTTTCTAATTTGGGGCATTGGATTCAGGAGGGGGCATCGGAGGGTGGCCCAACAGATTGGTTGAATTGCTTTTTTTTCCCCCCTTCTTAAAATGACTCAGGTTTTGGCAAACAGTTTATCACTCCTGGCCCAAATACAGGCAGATTGGGAAATTATCAATTCAAATTCAACCAGGGTAGGCAGAGAAAGATACGGAGCAGGTGCCATGGCACTAACACAACAAGCTGTTAAAATAAGAGGGTGGAATGGAGGTCACGCAATTAGCCTCCATTTTCCACTTGAATTCAGGTTGAACTTGAGTACTGTAGCTTCTTTTCCAACAAACACTCCATGATTCTGTAAGATAACACGTGAAAGGAGCAACAATAGATTGAATCAGTCTCCTGCTTTGCGCTGACCTTCACATCCGTGATCATGTGCTGTTCACGCAGCCAAAATTGGATTGACTTAATAAGGTAAAAACGCTGGAGTGTACGGTTAACCGTGCTCTTTAAACGCGCAAGGACGCCGCAGATTGCCGATGCTTTTGTGAAGATCAGTCCAGAGCGCCTGATCAGGATTTAATCCACAGTGTAATTATAAAGAAAGGGAAGAGGACTTCTGCTTTGCTGTGTGTTAATCTCGCTCTGCCGGGTGTTGTTTTTTTTTGTTCCTTGTAATGATTCCCAGTCTTTTCGGGGGAAGCCAGATTCTCACAGCTGCCGGTGTTCCCGTACAGTATGCCTGTGTGGTTCGAAAGCTTTGGATTGTTTATCAAGGGCATATGTCGGAGGAAGAATCCTGTTTAGATGCTGTTTCAACAGACATTCTTGTAAATAAGTTTTCCTTTTAGTTATATTCTCCGAGTCTTGTTAGCATTAGCGCTTATTTCGAAGCACAGATTGGTCAGCATAAACAATAAATCAGCTACATATGGGCAAACATTCACAAGAGGATAAGTCTTTGTACGGCTGTGGTTTTCTTTACTCTCAGACACTCTTAACACACACTCCAGCACACACGTATTAACACACACTCGCATTTGCATTTGAGCTAATCCCAGAGGTGTAATCAATGCGGAAATACTTGGCATCAGCACTATGACAGCATGCTGCGGCACAGCTAGCATAGCAATGAGTATACAGCAAATCAAGCCTCAGGAATGGGAGCCTTATTAAATAAAAGCAGGAAGGGTCAATACGAGCTATTGACGAGTCCATGAAGCTTGTACTTCAAAGTGTCCCCCCCCCCCCCCTCTCTTTCTCTCTTTTGCTTTTTACCAGCCCAGCGGGGAGACAAGGCAGCCCAGTCTGTGTCAAAACTGGGATCCTTGAATGCTAATGCGGTGTCCTTGGGAGGTAACTTTGTTGCGCCCCATGAGGAAAACTTCAAACTCCCATCACAAATCAGAGCGCGGAGAGATCCCAGGGGTATCGCACCCAGGGCAGTACGGTTAAACATGTTTCCACTCACAAATGGACACAAAAGCAAACCTATAAGTGCACATACACAAACAACTGCTCAAGTATGACAGTCTGGGTCAACATCGAGCCTTGAAAGATACATAAAGTGCCAACTGTTTATATCTGCTGTAGAATAAAGGGCCACGAAGAAGGATGCAGTTCAATGATGTACGTCCTTATGGTCCTCTCTACCTGGCCTCTCTTTGTTTAATTCACATTGTCAATTGTTGAATGATAATGTCCATGAAAACCCTCTCTCGATCCCTCCGTTCTCAACAGGTCTGTCTCAAACCTGCCGTTTCTACCCGAGATTTTAGAAAAATGGTTCTCCACACAGCTGATTTTCTTTTCTGAAAGACAGTCTGAAATTTCAATCTGGTTTCCACTCCCAACACAGCAAAGAGACAGCTCTGGTCAAGGTCTGTAATGACTTCTTGCTTGCAGCTGATTCTGGCTTGCACTCCTGACCTCCGTCCGGCCTTGGAAACAGTCGACCACAAAGTCTAAATCAGCCAATGTGGCGCTGGAGTGCTCCATTTCCTATCTGTCAACCAGCTTTTTTTTTTTCCTGTAGTGCTTTGAAATGCCTCCTTCTCTTGCGCTCCTCGTGTGGATTCCCCCAGGGGTCTATCCTGGGTCCCCTTATTTACTATTCACTGTATACCTGCTTCCCCAGGGGACAATCCTAGCCTGGCTGGGCCATCTGGTTGCGTGAATCACTTGCCGTTCCTTCCCACAACAGTCTGGACTTCAGCCAATTGGGAGCGTGTATTAGAAATCAGAAAATAATCGGGCCAATCAGTGACTGTGTTTCCACTGTTCCCCAGACAACAGGGAAAGGCAGCCCCTGATTGGTCAATGTGTAGATGGTGACGTCTAAACACATGCTGCGGGACTTTTCAAAGTGCCGTTAATTCTTCAGTTGACTTTGCAAAGTCGTCAGAAATCGTAAAAGACATTGTTCGCTCGCACATGTTGAAATATTACCAAACCTTTACTTGATGCTTGAGAGCCCAGCAGGGAACACAGTTGCGCACTGTGATGACGTCACATGTTCGGTTACGGTGATTGGTTACAGTAGTCTGTCTATCAAGGAAAGTACTCCCGCCCACTTTTAGGGCTCCCAATCGGCCGAAGTCCAGACTGTTGTGGGAAGGAACGGCAAGTGATTCACCTAACTGGATGGCCCAGCCAGGATAGGAAAATCCTACATAGGCACTGCATAGACCTTCCCTGTTATGCAGATGACCCCCAGCTCTATGGCACCAAAATTGGAGGTTACCACCATTACTACCCCAACCCTGAGTTTTAGCCACATTAATCTTATTTAGGTACTAATTCCAATCCTTGAGCACTTTGTGGCTTGTTTTTGAAATGCTGTATAAAAGAAATTAGTATTTGAAATGTTCTCATGGACAACATTCAGTTCAATAACCAAAATCCTTTTGCTTTTCTTCATTTCCACACACTAACAAGCAAGACAGCCCGTGTGACGACAATGGCTGCCGACTAAATGGATTTGTGTTTGACTTTCCCCTTTTGGTCCCGATATGACAACTGAAGAATGGATAAATCTAAGGGAAGAGGATAAGCCAAAGACACTGGCAGTTTAAACCGCTAAAACTTCTTAACATCAGTGGAGTCAGTATCAGAGCCGGAGCTGAATGAACTTCAGCGTGTTCAGATAAATTTCGACAATAATCCTGGACGAAAAAGTCAGACGTTACGCTGAAAGCTGGATCATGCAAAAGGGGAACTTGAAAGAGCAGGAAATGTTTGTCCTTGTTAAGATGAATGTAAAACGTCTCATTGAGTGCTCTTCATTTCATACTATTCATACTTACTGTATATCTACTAGAAACTGTAGATGAATGCGGTGTTGAATTATCTCCTGATGTTCTTTTAGCACTCAGTAAGGATTATATTATTCGACAAAGACATAAACTATGAATATCATTTTCTTAACCTTACTTGTAGAAATCTAGAAACCAATTTTCTTTTGGTTTACTTATTTCAGCGTTATCCTTATGAAGAGAAGAAAGAAGGAGGTTATGTTTTCGGTAGCGTTGGTTTGTTTGTCTGTTTAGCAACTTTACGGAGAAAGTTACAGACGGATTGACCTGAAATTTTCCCATTAAATTTTGGTGGTGATCCGGACAAAATTCTGGATACTGTGAACCAGAACACACAAAAATAAGGGTGTTGTTGGAATTTTCAATGCTGAAAGATAACCAATGGGCGGCACAGTGGTGTAGTGGTTAGCACTGTCGCCTCAAAACCGGAGGGTTCTGGGTTCGAAACCTGGTCAGGGCATTTCTTGTTTTTAGGAACATTATGAACAGTGGACATACCAGTTTAAACACAAATAAAAGTTAATAAAAGACACGTAACAGTAAAAGTTTTGGTGTGAATCACAGTATAAGGGGGGACATGAGCTGCTTGGCAGAGGTCTGCGCTCTCTGAGTGCTTTTCTAGTTTCTGACATGATGTTGAGAAAACATGGACTTGGATGTTGTATACATTTAGGTATAAGTATCATCAAAGGTATTACATAGGCTACAGTTCATACTTTATATTAGATGTGTTGAATTAAAGTATTTGTGTTTTGTTTTAGCTATTTTAATGTCTTATTTAGGTTACTTTCAACAGAAAACGTCTGTAAAAGCAGCTTTACCTGTGCTAGCTGCATCAAAAAGTAGACTGACACGGTTAGCATTAAGCTAAGTGAACACCAGCTCCAAAAATTGTAAGTAATGAAGGACTAAATGGACTGTTTTCTTACTATTTTGTCAAAAAAAATGCTTTCCATATCAGCTGACAAGTCTGGGCTTTAACCTATATATAATATGAGTATTATGATATATGATATAATATGAGTATTTAAGAAAATTAAGTTATGATTTAGTAACTCACATGTGCAGACCAGTCAGAAGCAGATCTACCCTGCTGGAATATCTCTATTCAGCCGCCTTATCCTAATGGAAACTGCTTCTTTTGCTGACAACCGCTCCCTGCGTTTAATACCAAACACTCACTTCAAATGGGTTGTAACCTGTGGGGGGATTGTGCCCCGCTGCTGTCCTCAAACTTTTTCACATGAATGCTATTGACCTGAGTCTTCTTAGGGGGTACAGTAGGCCTCTAAATCCACGTGCTCCACAATCTCAGCAGATTGATGCGGCTCTGGAGTGAGTAACTCCATTGATTTCATTTCACAGGGCATTCGATTCAGTAGATCATAGCACCTACAACAAGATTGGGTTGGCATGGATTTTCTCCACCGGGTCAAAGAGGCTTAGACCATAATTGTTTTTTATTACTTTTTGGCTCTAAAAACACACCCATGTATCATATTTCTGACGACTGCTCGATACCCAGCACACATCTCCGTCATAGGTCACTTCTCCCCGGGCCGTTCTTTCTCTGCTGTCTTTTATTGAGAAATTCTATTTGATTAGCCGTGAACCTTTAATGTATAAAGTGCAACGCAGGTCCCCGCTGACAACTTACTCTCTCTTGGCTTTCTGTGTAGATCTGGCACACATGACATGTGAAGACCTTTTGGCTTCGAGGCGCTTAAAGCGTATACCACACCGGCAGCTTTCACGGAATCGTCAATTCATGACTCTTTCTGCTTTCTACCACATCACCTTAAACTAACCTGTGTTGGCTAACACACTGTTACACATATGTTAACATTCACCCCGGTGTTTCATCGGATTTTAGAGCAGATGCGGCCATCTCTCCGTCCACGAATAGTGGCGAGTACATTCAGAAGACAGCGCCTTGCAAGAGCAGAGTTCCGGCCCTGCCCTGACTGCCAATTATCACCAAAGCAGAGGGCTAATTAAAGTTTGATTAAGTTCAGAGTGTTCTTGAGGATATGCAGAGAGGGAGATCGGGAGGGGTCCCACCCAAGATCACACGGTGTCTGTCAGAGGCAGGCGCTGTGAAATTGGATTGTTGGCCGTTATCAACCTTTGACCCCGAGTACCACGCCACTTGGTGAATTCAGCAGCTGGGAAAAAAAAGAAATCTCTCTCAAGGGAAAGGGGAAATTGTGCTCCTGGATGTCCAGTGTGGGCAAGAAAAGTGAGACGCACTGTCACTGGAGAGCTGTTCGCTAATGAGGTCTAGGAGGGATTGGATGTATGGAGGAATATACGCATGAGATTAAAATGCGCAGCCTACACGGTCCACATTTGTCTCCGCGACACTGAGATCCTGAAAAGTTCTATTTGTGAGTTTTCCACAGCTTCAGGATTGTGCTTCGTAGGTAGTTGCATCCCTCTGGGAGCTGAGTCGCAGGTAGGGGAGCGAGGACGTATTGCCCCCTTTAGGGGAACAACAAACCTGCTTGTTCAACGCTTGGCAAGGAAGACACATCGGTACAATCCGCCAAACGTCCTCCTTCTGCCGGGTTCTTACTGAACTTGACATCCACCGCAGTGGTAAAGGGGGCCGCATTACTTATTTATGGCGCGCACTTGCATATTAATGGCACACCTTTTCGTCGCGAGCAAACATATGCATGAGGCGGCACCGGGTTGTATTTTTAAAGTAAGCAGGAAGGTGAGGGCAGTCGGGTGGAAGTGGCGAAGACAACGGAAGGACGACAATGGCGAGGCAGGGGAAAAGACTAATGGTGAGCCGAGAGAGTTCTGGGTGACTTCTGCAGATTTCACTCAGTGGCACTGGCTCCTGCAAGTAAGCAAAGGTAATTATGATAATGGACATTAATGGGTTTATAAGTAAGCACTAATGGCAATGGAGATTGAGCGCGTACATGGTAGAGCACCTGACCTTCATATTCTTTCTGTGAATTCAATCTAACTCCAGCAGCACAATCGAATCAGAGGAGAGAAATCGTCATATCTTTGGCGCACAGGCTATTGTGTTGAGATCCTTCGCTCTGAATCTTTTAAGCTTTGTCTCACAGGCTCCAGAAGCCCGGCTGCAGGGAGAGGAGGGGAAAAAAAAAGAAAAAAAAAACCCACATTGTTTCAGCTCCACATTTCCACCTGCTCTCATCTGATTGACTCATGCCTTTTTCCTGTTTTAGGAGATTAGCTCCTGTTCCTCATTCCTTCCCCAGAACTCCTCCTTTTGTTTCTTTCGTCTTTTCTGCTTCATAAAAAAAAAAATCCAGTTTCAGCACTTCTAAACCTGATACCTCCCCCCTCCCCCTTTTCCTCTCTCATCTTCCTACTCAACTCTTGGCTGGGGGTTAAAGGATGAAGGGCTGTCTGATTGGGTGTCGGAACGTCAACTTGAGTACCAAGCTTTCTTCTTCCTCCACAGACTTGGATCTTCTATTTTACTCCTTTTCTTCTCCGGTAAAAATCTGGTCCATTGACACATCTTCGTCTTTTGGTTTAATGATTTTAGCATCGTGCTCGTCCTGTGCTTCTTGTCTCATCTGCTCGGTTCTTTTCTATCCTGTGTTGCACTGACACCTCCATTTATCAATGTCAATCACCAGTTTTAAAACCCAACAGGCTCGCACGCATCGATTACAGCTGATTCAGAATAAGGCATGATGCAAATGTCAGATCATGGTCGATAATGGAATAATAAGCGTAAACCTTGACCTCTTAATGAATCTGTTGATATTGCCCTCTCATCCCATAGTGAGGAGACTTCTTGTAACTCCTTTTCAACCAGTTGTTCATAGTGCCAGAAAACGACACTGTGAACCAATCGAGGGAATAAAAAGTAGCATGTAATAGAAAATTCTTCAGAGTAGGAGACCTGCGTCTGCTGTCTCATGTATCCCGTATTAACTCGGCCTTCCAGCCTTCTCCATTTTGGTTATACAATCATCTTTTTCAGTAAAGAAAGAGAAAGTAATTTTGGACAAGGCTTAGTGAAAAAACATGATGAGAGAATTCCAATTTACCTGATACTCATTCTTCTTTTTCCCCCTGAAAACAGAAGCTATTATGGCAGGAAGGCTGTCATGCAGAAAATAAGTGTGTCTATGTAATTATACGCATAAGCCCCCTCGCTAAAAACCACACTGATCCAGCCGCAAAAAAGGATTCGAGTTTCAGAACTGCTTTGGTTACACAGAATTATCTCTGTGGTTCAGTTCGAGGTTTGATATTCTGACAGGGATACATTTTCTCTGCTCTGTCTTGCTACAGTGGAACACGACCAAACGCATGATTAAAGCATTCAGGGCAATTAGTCTTCATTATGGAAATCAAGGTCAGAGAAGTAAAGAAAGCATAGGCTGTCAATTACTACAGCTACATAATTCGTAGTCATTTAAAGCTGAAATGTCAAATCTTACTACCTCACTGAAAACCAGGTCATGAATGACTTTAAAAACTTAAGAGCCATCTTGGATTTTCTTTTAATTATGTGACTCGATAGATGACTCTCTTAGATGAATCTGGAGAGTTTCCTTGGACTCGTCTCTAAGGACAAGTCAATTAAATCGAATATTGTTTAAGAACAGCTTCTTAACTTGGACTTGTTTTTTACTGACTTGTGATTTTTGGTGACAACTCACTGGACTTGGACTTTATCTGTACTGACTTGTTTCATAAATTTAAATGACTTGAACTCTAACACACAATAGTCTGAGTTGAACTTCCACTTGACTCTTAGTAGTCTTGACTGACTTGTGACATGTCTTGGATTTATCTTAACGAACCTTTTTGTCCTGTGGGATGTCCAAAATGTAAAAAAAATACATTCAGTTGGAATTTGACTCGTCCACACAACCTGTTACTTGACTTGGACTTGCCTTGACTGACTTGTTACTTGATGTCCTTGTTAACCTGTTACTAGCTCACATGACTAAGACTTAACGCTACTTTACTGTCTGCCACTTTGACTTGTTTTGAGGTGACTGACTTGATACTGGACTTGGACTGGTCTCTACTGACTCTTGATATGTCTAACCCACTTTTTGCAACTCGTCTTTACTATATTGTCAGTTGAACTAAACAGTAATCTTAACATAACTTAAGCTTGACTTGGACTCGGTTTAACTAGCCTATCATGTGATTTAGACTTGCCTAAAGTGACTTGTCACATGACTTGGGCATTCTCCTGTTTAACCCTTACCTAGTTTAACTTGTTTTGTTCACTGACTTGACTGATGACTCCGACTTGTGTTTTATGTTTCATAGACTGACAATAACCATCCTGTCTTTTGGACTTGAATTTGACTCGAATTTTAATTATTGTGCACTTAATTTAATGGACCTGTGACTTGACTTGGACTTTTCTTGACCTAACATCACTCAACCTTCACTTGACACCAGACTTTGACTTGTCTCTGATCAGGCTGAGACTGGTTTGACCAACTTTTTAGGACTTGGACTTGACTCAACGGACTTGATAGACAAATTTGAGAATACCTTCACGAGTATGTTACTGGACATGAATTTGTCTCATCTGTATCAAACTGTAATTAATAAATGTGGAGTCTTTTTTATATAACGATTGACTTGGAGACACTTAAACCTGTATCTTAACTCTATCTCCAGGAACTCTTTAGAAGACTTGGACTTGTTAGACATACATGATATGACTTGGACTTCTCTTCTAACCGACTTGGTCTCCGTTATCTTGTCCCATGACTTTAAAATAGGTAGAAAAGTGACTTTTGTAGAAGTTGTTTTTCAATGACTGACCTGACAAAGGACTTGGACACATCTTTTAATGAGACTCTTTGGACTTCTTGACCTGACTTGGACTTCTCTTCTAACTTTGACACTTTGTTCGGATCATTTTCATCTTTCTTATTGTGATTATCCCTTTGACTTACTTTGAAAAGTCTTTGGAAGTCCTGTACCCTGTCTTGAAAATAGACTTGGACTTGTTTTGTCTCGGTTTCTGGGACTTTCTCCCATCTATAGATTACAAAATGAGCACCTTGTAAGGACTGTAATTCTCTGTAACCAGTATCAGTACCACTGTTGAGAAATCTTTCATGTGTCATGACTCGGCAGCGAGCAGAGCTGATAAGAAAAGGCCTGAAGTTTGTACTGACATTTTTTTTTTTGATCTGCCTGTTCGGTGTGAGCTACTAGCGAGAAATTGGTCATCTGTTACGTTTGTAGTTATCCGGCGTGAGAGCACGGTCGAGCAGCATGCTTGATATGTGTTATCTTGTGTAGCTGATCAAAAGACAGCTCTTATTTTTTCTGCTACACTTTCTGCACAAATCTCTCCCCCCCTTCCCCTTACTTGTCAGCGAGCGGTGAGTGGTTTCATCAGCTTTTCTGTCTCCGGCACTTTTGCACTACAAGACTGAGCATCTTCGCTTTTGATTCCTGGCTAACTCAATGACAAGGCGCTCACATGATCGACACTTGTTTTTTCTTTTTCCCCTGCCAAGGCTGCAGAGGGTATTTTGTGTAAAAAAAACAAGACTAAAAAGGGGACATTGTGAGCTTGTAAGTCTGATCATATTTCGCACAGAGAGGCACTTTTAACAGAGAAAGAAAAGGGAGAAGGACAAACCAGGTCAATAAAGAGACGACGCACAATCGAGCTTTCTGTTTCCAAACAATCAGAAGAAGAAATGAAAGAGAGATAACAGTTTATGAAAGAGAGAGAAGCAGA